GCCACCCCTAGCCACCGTGCACTTAAAAAATTGTCGGCCATCGTCGTTAGTTTTCAGACCTATAACCTTAACACCGATTGGTCTAAGGTCTGAAAATTACAAAAAAATCACTCATGTCAATTTAAATAAGTATTAAAATTTTTAAAAAACATAAATATAATATAAATTGCGGCTGTCATACAGTCATAGTGGACTTTGTTTTCTCGTTGTCTTGATTTTTTTTTTTTTTTTTGTTTTTTTATAACTATTTAAACTAGAAGGGGTGGCGATTTTATAATTTCAAAGTTTAGACCAAACGTTGTTAATGTCAAATGTCTAACAACTAACAACGAGGGTCACATTGAAACAATTATTCAAGTATAAGAGGAAAAATCGATGCAATCGAGAATATAAGGGGGTAAAATGATACCGACCAAAATACAAGGGGGAAAGTGATATATCAAATTTCCTTACTTCAATTGAAAAAAAAAATAGTCATATAGTCACATTGAAGGAATGTTTCAAATTCCCCACATGAAGAACATGTTTTCCCAAAGCCACTTTCCTATTGCCCAATTCATCCACAACACTCAAATCTTTGCAAACATCAATTTCAAATCTCACAACCTCTTCTCCCTTTGGCCTCAAATGCACCTTCCGAAACGCCACCAATTGTTTTCGCGGTGCATTGTGCACTCGTGGTGGCCTCGAAAACACCAAAACCGTATGGCTTCCAGTCAACTTCCCTACATTCTTCACAGTCAAATGAACTCCGAACCCCAAATTCTTGCACATGGGCTCCACAGCATCGACTGACTTGCAATCCGATGATTGACACGCGTGGCCTTCTTCCAAATCAACGGTCATGATCGTCGGTAGTGGCTCGGCCAAGAGGTGTTTGAACTCAGAGTAACTGAGTCCATACCCGAACGGGTAGACTGTGGGCCCTATGTAGAAACGGTACGTCCGTCCGGGGTATCCGGTGGTGGGATTAGGTCTCATGTTCATGTCCGTCATGTTAACCTTTTCGGCATACGATTGTGGGTACCAAGTCAAAGGCAGTCTTCCACCTACAACACAACAAATGTGTCAATTCAAAAAATAAATGTAAATGTAAATGGTCATTCAAAGATATATTGAACTTACTAGGGTTATGACTTCCAAAGATTACATCTGCAATGGCGGTCCCACCGGCTTCTCCAGGGAAACCGGCCCAGAGAATCCCGGTAATTTTAGGGTTTTCTTTGGCGAACTGCACATCCATTCCACCACCGGACATTATGACAAGAATCACCGGTCCCTTCGCCACTTTCGCAACCTCCGATATCAAAAGTTGTTGTTGTCCGGGAAGCGTAATATTCTCTCTGTCGAGGCCTTCTGTTTCAATCGTCTGATTCGATCCCACAACTAGAACCACCGCATCAACTGTTGATGCTATTTTTTTGGCTTCATCCACTTGAGCAACGTCGCATAATATCCTATTACAACCCGAGTGATAGACCGTTGGTACATATGCCGTTAGGCCCTTCAACGGGGTCGTGTATTCGCACGGATTACCTACAAAAAACAAACCAAATTAAACGAAATTGAAATTTATATATTCACAAGATTATATATATATATATATATATATATATATATATATATATTACCAAAATAGCTCCCTAGCATATTGAAATCTTTATCGTCAGCGTTGGGGCCGATCACCGCCAATGACTTGACGGAGGTTGGCGACAAGGGCAATGAATTTCCGAGGTTCTTGAGAAGAACAATCCCTTGTAGAGCGGCTTCACGTGCTAGTTCTTGATTTTCTTTCGTGCAAATGTCGTTGAGGCCGAGGTTGCCATAGAGTTGGTTTGTAGGGTTTCCATCGAAGAACCCTAATCTCATCAATGTTGCGAAATTGTTAGTGACGGCCCGGTTGATCGATGTTTCGTTAATCAGGCCGCGGCTTACTGCAGCTTCAACGTGTTCTAGAAGGAAGGATCCACAATCAAGATCCAAACCTACATCAAGAAAACAAGAAAATTTTACAAACTTAGTATTCTTTTTTCGTCCTATATTTTGGCAAAGTTATTGTATTTAAAATTAAAAAGAGACAATTTAAATGAATTAAATTCTTAAATACAAACCTGAATTCACAGCTACAGCAGCTGCTTCCTCAGGACTATTCTTATAATGTTGGTGATTGAATAACACCTCTACCGAATCGCAATCCGAAACGATGTACCTTCCGCAAACAAAAACACGAGCATAATTAACGTCGTAAAAAAAAAAAAACTAATTTATTGTTAAAAGTACAATAAAAATATAACACATATATATAAATACCCGTTCAATTTCCATTGTCCTCGAACAACACCGTTCAAAAGCTCGGGATTCCCGCAACTGGGCTTGCCGTTAACTTGATTATACGAACACATAACGCTCGCCACATTTCCATCAAGAACGCAGCTCTTGAATGGCGGCTGGTACGTGTCATCCAAATCTTGTTGTGTTACCTATATATATATATATAAATGGAACAATTCATACAATAAGCCATGATAAAAAAAAAAAAAATTCATATTAATTAATTAATGAATACCTGAGCATCGAAAGTAAAACGGTCGAACTCTTTCCAGTGTTCGAGATCGTAAGCGGTGTAGTGTTTACAGCAGGCGGCGACTTTGAGCCTGGTTTGATCACCGTCGTCTCTCTGCTGAAGAGCTTTCACGTAAGCGACGGCGTATTGGCTGGAGAGCAAAGGGTCTTCTCCGGGGGTTTCTTGGCCTCTGCCCCACCTCGGATCTCGGAATATGTTCACATTCGGCGACCAAAATGTCAGTCCCGCCGCTCCTACGTTGTGCATTGCCCTTGCCTCTGTCGAAATCGCCTGCAAAACCCTTTCAGTTGGTATATTTAGAGGTTCATTCCGTAAAATCCTACTGAAATTTCGGTACCCCAAATTTTCATAAGGTGTATTGTGCGGTTCGATAAATAACCGAATTATCGAAATTTTATTAAAAATATTTTAAAAAATGGTTTTTTTAATTAATTTTAGTTTAAATAATAATATTTCGCATAAAAATCTATATATATATTTAAAAAAAAAACTGAATATCGAATTGAATCACAAGTTCGGTAATCAGCATGTACCGAATTTTCATTCGGTTTGGTTCAGTCAATTTACCGAACCGATGAACACCCCTATATAAATTTGACAATGTAAGAGTCAATGTGTAAAAAGATTACATAGTTGAGGGTGAGTGTAATTACGCAAGCAAGAGAGATTTTTTCGTAATTTAACCTTACCTTAGTGGTAATCGTAATTTGCCATATAAATAAATAAAAATAAAATGGAAATTATTTGGTTACCTTTCCGATGAGGTGGAATAAGGATACATTGAAACTGGCGGCGGTGAGGATGACTTGAGGGAAGCTAGTGGCGGCCCGAACGTTATCGGGTTCGAATTTGGAACCCGGCCCGTTTGACCCGATTCCATGTAGGGCCTCCGACCACCACCAGTAGCCGGGGATTCCGAGCCGGCTCACTCCCTCTGAGCCGCTGATGACCCAGCCGATTTTCTCCTTGAGAGTGAGTTTATTTACCAAATCTGCCACTCGGGTTTCGATGTCTAGTGAGGGGTTGCAGAAGGTGAAACTCTCGAGGTCTGGATTTTTCGATACGTCACAGGCGAAAGGTCCGGGTTTTCCGGCGGAGAAAACGGGGGTTATTGTTGTGCATGAAAGGAAGATGTAGATGGTGGTGATGAGAGAGAGGAGGAGAGAGAGTTTTGGAGGGGCGGCGGCCATTGTTGAATTAAATATTAATAATTAGCAGAATCTTGAGAAAGTGGAGGTTTTTTATAGAGATGAAAATCGGGAGTTAAGGCCTTGATGGATGAATAATTAATGCAAATATTTAATCTCGTTTCCTTCCTTTATCGTACCTTAAACCAGAGAATCTTTTCTCTCTCTCTCTCTCTCTCTCTCTCTCTCTCTCTCTCTCTCTCTCTCTCTTCTGAGACACACAGACAGTACGTAGAAGATATACAAATGTTTGAGTGATTTGATGTCTGCAACAAACACTCGTGACAGGGAGGGGGCTGATTTGTCGGCGTGGTTTATTGCAGGCAAGCGGCGCGTGGAGGAGAGGAAGAAAGTGAAAGTAAATCTAAAATAATATATATATGTCCATTATATTTATATTGTTTGCTTATTTATTTATATGGATCATTAAATTAAAATTTTGGGATGGCAAATTGTTTTTACCTACATTAGAGAAGGAAATCGGATGGAATGGTTTTGTAATGGTCTTTTTCAGAAAATTTCTAATTTTTCGGGAAGTAAAAAGTGAGTTCCAAAATTTTAGAAAATTTAGATGTAATCGAAATTTTCACAATATTTTTTGAATTTTTGCAGAAAAATGCAAAAGAATTCAAAAGAGAGTTCGACTTTCGATCCCCATACCTCTCGCATGCAAAGCGAGCGCTCAATCAATTGAGCTACATCCCCTATTGTTGTTGGTGGAAACAAATGATGGTATTTGAAATAAAAGAGAAATTATAATATGACTTGAGAATACAAACTCTTTGCAACTTAATTAAAATTATATGGTCAATCATTTTGGTTGTTACTAAATTAATAAATATTGAAGGCCAAAATTTCAAAAATTACAAATAATAAAATAAAATAATAATCAACAAAAGCATGTTTAATCAATATTAATATCAACACTATTAAATAACTATATATATTTTTAATCTATTTTTAATTATAATTAGATAGAATCTCAAGAATAGTTAGAGGATATCAAACAAGTTGTACATTAAACAAATGTATCATGGTCAACAATATTCATAACTTTAAAATTTTTTATTAACCAAAGAAAGAAGCAACATTGTTACAATTGTATTACATCACTTCTCTTTTTTCTTTCTATATCCAATTTTGTGGTATAGTATACTTTTTTCTTCTTCTTCTTCTTCCCACAAATACCCCTTTAATTTCTTGGGTTGAAATAAAATAAAATAAAATCTTCATATAGTCACATTGAAGAAATGTTTCAAATTCCCCACATGAAGAACATGTTTTCCCAAAGCCACTTTCCTATTGCCCAATTCATCCACAACACTCAAATCTTTGCAAACATCAATTTCAAATCTCACAACCTCTTCTCCCTTTGGCCTCAAATGCACCTTCCGAAACGCCACCAATTGTTTTCGCGGTGCATTGTGCACTCGTGGTGGCCTCGAAAACACCAAAACCGTATGGCTTCCAGCCAACTTCCCTACATTCTTCACAGTCAAATGAACTCCGAACCCCAAATTCTTGCACATGGGCTCCACAGCATCGACTGACTTGCAATCCGATGATTGACAAGCATGGCCCGTTTCCAGAGAAACGGTCATGATCGTCGGTAGTGGCTCGGCCAAGCGGTGTTTGAACCCAGAGTAACTGAGTCCAAACCCGAACTGGTAGATTGTGGGCCCTGTGTAGAAACGGTACGTCCGTCCGGGGTATCCGGTTTTGGAATTATGTCTCATGTTCATGTCGGTCATATTTACTTTTTCTGCATACGATTGCGGGTACCAAGTCATCGGTAGTCTTCCACCTGCAACACCACAAACGGTCACTCATTCAGAAAATAACAAATTTCTATAAAAAAACACTAAATTTTGTAGAAACGTAGGGGGGTCATGGCCCCCGATAGCCTATATACTTACTAGGGTTGTGACTTCCAAAGATTACATCAGCAATGGCAGCCCCACCGGCTTCTCCGGGGAAACCAACCCAAAGAATCGCGGTGATTTTAGAGTCTTCTTTGGCGAACTGCACATCCATTCCGCCACCGGACATTATTACTAGAATCACCGGTCCCTTCGCCACTTTCGCAACCTCGGATATCAAAAGTTGTTGTTGTCCGGGAAGCGTGATATCCTCTCTATCGAGGCCTTCTGCTTCGATAGATTGATTCGATCCCATAACAAGAACCACCGCATCAGCCGTGGATGCTATTTTCTTGGCTTCATCCACTTGTGCAACGTCACAAAATATCCTATTACAGCCCGAATGATACACCGTTGGTACATACGATGTTAGGCCTTTCAACGGGGTTGTATATTCGCACGGAGTACCTGCAAAAAACACACCAAATTAAACGAAATTGAAATTTAATTATATGCTTACAAAATTAATTTTTTTTACCAAAGTAGTTTCCTATCATATTGAAATTTTTATCGTCAGCGTTGGGTCCAATAACCGCCAATGACTTAATGGAGGTTGGCGACAAGGGCAACGAATTTCCGAGGTTCTTAAGAAGAACAATCCCTTGTCGCGCGGCTTCGCGTGCTAGTTCTTGATTCTCTTTCGTGCAAATGTCCTTGTGGCCAAGGTTTCCGTAGAGTTGGTTGCTAGGGTTTCCATCGAAAAACCCTAATCTCATCATTGTCGCGAAATTGTTCGAGATGGCTCGGTTGATCGATGATTCGTTAACGAGGCCGCGGTTTACTGCAGCTTCAACGTGTTCTATTAGGAAGGATCCACAATCAAGATCCAAACCTGAATTCACAGCTACAGCAGCTGCCTCCTCAGGACTACTCTTATAATGTTGGTTATTGAATAACACCGCAACCGAATCGCAATCGGAAACGATGTATCTGCAGCAACAAAAACATGAGCATATATAATTAATGACCTAAAAAAAAATTCTTCTGATTTAATCTTAAAAGTCTAATAAAAATATAACATGTATATGTATATATACCCATTCAATTTCCATTTTCCTCGAATAACACCATTCAAAAGCTCGGGATTTCCGCAAGTCGGCTTGCCGTTAACTTGATTATACGAACACATAACGCTCGCCACATTTCCATCAAGAACACAGCTCTTGAAAGGCGGCTGGTACGTGTCATCCAAATCTTGCTGTGTTACCTATATTAAGAAAAAATATTATTATTATTTTTTTTTGAATTTAATTAGGAAAAGTATTATTTAATAGTAATACCTGGGCGTCGAAAGTAAGCCTGTCGAACCCTTTCCAGTGATCGAGATCATAGGCGGTGTAGTGTTTACAGCAAGCAGCGACTTTGAGCCTGGTTTGATCACCGTCGTCTCTCTGCTGAAGAGCTTTCACGTAAGCGACGGCGTATTGGCCGGAGAGTAAAGGGTCTTCCCCGGGGGTTTCTTGGCCTCTGCCCCACCTCGGATCTCGGAATATGTTCACATTCGGCGACCAAAATGTCAGCCCCGCCGCTCCTACATTGTGCATTGCTCTTGCCTCCGTAGAAACCGCCTGCACCCAAAATTAAACACAAAAATTAATAAATTATATATTTATATGTATATAATATAAATAAATTAATTAAAATATATATGGTTGGCTGCATGTTCCTTTATTAAAAAAAAAAAAAATTTAGTTACCTTTCCGATTAGGTGGAATAAGGATACATTAAAACTGGCGGCAGTGAGGATGACTTGAGGGAAGCTAGTGGCGGCCGGGACGTTATTCTGGTCGAAAACGACACCCGGCCCGTTTGACCCGATTCCGTGTAAGGCCTCCGACCACCACTCGTAGCCGGGGATTCCGAGCCGGGTGACTCCCTCTGAGCCGCTGACGACCCAGCCGATTTTCTCCTTGAGAGTGAGTTTATTTACCAAATCTGCCACTCGGGTATCGATGTCTAGTGAGGGGTTGCAGAAGGTGAAACTCTTGAGGTCTGGATTTTTCGACACGTCACATGCGAAAGGTGGCGGGTTTCCGGCACCGGAAATTGGCCGATTGCAATACGAAAGAAGGACGACGAGGACGATGGTGATGGGGAGACAGAGTTTTGGAGGGGCTGCCATTATTGAATTAATAATAATAATGTATAGTTTTTCTTTTTTTTCTTTTTCTAATTGAGTGTGAATTATGCTTAGCACACAATCTTGAGAAGAGGAGGGTTTATATATATAGTGATGAAATTCGGGATTGCGTGAGTGTTCTTTTACGCACGTAGTTTTCAGCATTAAATGTATTTTCCTTTATCGCACCTTACACCAGAGAATCTTCTCTCTCTACATATCTCTCTCTTTCTCTCTAGATCTCTCTCTCTCTCTCTCTGTGCAACAAACACATGGTTTATTAATATTGCAGCCATGCCGTGGAGGAGAAAAAGAGTGAAATAAATTTAATATATATATCCATTATATTTATTGTTTGCTTATCTATATCCTATGATTCTATCCCATCCGGTATTGAATTTCAAACGATCATTTAATTTAAATTTCTTTTTTACCTAAGTGGATGATGAGATCACAAAACTGAATGAAAATTTGGCAGAAAAATGAAAAACAGTGGTGGAGATGCAGGGTTTCGATCCCCGTACCTCTCGCATGCAAAGCGAGCGCTCTACCAATTGAGCTACATCCCCGATTGCTGTTGCCGAAAAATAAAGAACTTAATTAAATGAACACATCATCATCTTTTCTTTTTCCATCTAGACAATATATTAAATCTAAAGAAAATAAAATTTCCACAATTAAAGCCAAGCCCTCTAATATGATTTGAAAATACAAATTATTTGCAACATAACAGTGTCATTTTCTTGATTGAAATTTACCTAGCTGTGCATAGGTTCCATTTGTACGTGGCTCCTAATTTAAATAATTTTGTTTCTGAAAATTTTAGCATTTTTTTAATGAAAAAAGATAATTGTAATTTCAAAGTGTCATTTTCTTGATTGAAATATATCTAGCCAAAGTGGTACGTAATTTGAATTATCCCGAAAACTAAAAATGAAATATTGATGTGATAAATACACTAGAATAAATAAGTCCAAGATCAGATACATTATTTTCATTTTTGCTATTAGTATGAATATATTTTATTTTTCAGTATTATAACTCAAAATGTGAATAATATTGTTCACTATGCTTTCAAAATTTCTAGTGGTTCTCACTTCCTTTGTCAATCAATTTTATTGTTACTATAATAATAACTATAGAAAAGCCAAAAATTCAAAATTAGCCAAAATTAATCAACAAGTTAAAGGCATCGTATCCTCGTATTGGAAATTTCGTTTTTTTTTCCTACCCGAATTTTTAGTGTTCTTTTGGTGTGATAGATAGTGAAAACTGAGAACACCAGTAAGAGGGGCGGAAATCGGAATGGAATTTTTGGCTTCCGTCAATTTCAATCAGAATATTATATGAATTTGGAACCGTTTGTTTATTCCTATTTTCGAAATTCCGACTTTCGATTTTTTCGAATATTTTGGAACAAAATAGGAATTGTATAAAAAAAATTGCCGAAAATTCCAATTTTTTCCGATCCAATTTTAGTTCTGAATATTTCGATAATTTTCTTAATTATATAATATTTTATTATATATACTATGATCTACTTTGCAATTCCATGATAATAATGTATAATACAAAGAATTGGGTGAAGGAAACTAGACTTTAGTCACATTCCCAAACCAAAACCATGTAGGCTATAGCAATTCAAATTCTCTAGTTTTTTGACACAAAAAAAAAATAAAAAAAAAATGATAATTATAATAATAATAAAAATAAATAAATAAAATTTGCAAAAAAATATTAATTAATCCGAGCATGAAGGCAAATCATACGGTGGAGGAAGTATTTTACTCTGAGCAGTGTCACCATTTTTAACCACAAAAACAGTACTCATTCCCCAGCTTTGATGCCTCTCTAAATGACAATGCAATAACCATACTCCTGCACATGACATCATTATCACGTCATAAATACAATATATACCTTAAACTAAAACCAATAATTAAAATAAAAAACTAACCTGGATTGTCAGCCCTAAACCTAACAGCAACCCAACCATTATTAGGAATCCCCACAGTAGTCTCCTGAGGAGGATCCACCAGATTATAACCCAACGTGTCCTTTTCCGGGTCGAAATTACTGAATCCCGACCCGACCACGTAAAACCCGTACCCATGCAAATGAATCGGGTGGTTATCACTTGCTAAAACATTAGTCCCCTGCAAAACCAGCTCAACACTTGCATTGTACTCCAAAACCAAAACCCTAGTCCCGAACTCCGGCGTCAGATACTCGTCGCCCAAATCCTCTCCCGTATAATCGAACTTCTTCGGCGGATTTTCCGGAAAATTCCTCCCGAAAACGCCACTAACATTGTAGTAGTAAGCTCGCAGTATGTCGATCTTCGGAGGAACGAAACTCACATTGTTCACGCTCGCCGAAAACCTCTTTCCGTAAGGGCCGTCGCACGGGTTTTCGCCGCTGCAGTTTAGTAAATTTACGGACACCGTGAAAAACAAATGTGTGTTGATTTTTAACGGGACTTCTATAGGGTGATCTTTGCTTGCTAGGCTTTTAAACTTGCTCGTGAATTCGGTCGATGCTCGCGTGTCGTTGTAATGAGGGAGAGAAGGAAGTAAAGGAGACGACGGAATTAGGTTACGTTTAGTGGTTTGTTTGTAGTGTAAAATGGCGGTGGTTGTGGTGTTATCGAAACCAGCTCCGATTGCGCTTGAGTAAGCCCTAGCGGCGAGGTAATACCGGCGTGTGATTGGCTGATTCGCTTCGAATAAAATGTCCATTGATTGGCCCGGAGTTATCATTATGTAATCGGTTTCGAATGGTTTTGTGTAGAATCCGTCGGTTCCTACTAGTACGAGTTTGTGGTTTGCGATGGCGAAAAAGACGTTTTCGTCCATGATTGCGCTAACTATTCTCAGGAGGTAGGTTTTTCCTTGCTCCACTTCAACCCTAAAGGTTTCTATACAAAAATAAAATAAATTTGAATATTAAATATTACATTTTACACACACACTCACACACACATATATATTGATTTTTTACATAATATCACCTTGTTTGGAGCACGGGTAAAGATCGCCCGGTTGTCCGTTAATCGTGTAAGCATCGGATAATATTGGTTCTCCGCCGGTCTTATTAGCATTTTCTTCTATTTCCATCACATTCTTTTTCCACCACTCCCCTGCATACATCATTAGTATTCATTAGTAAAATTACTAAAATACCCCTGCAAACCCCCGTCTAGCAAAAAATGCGGTCATGCACTATACAAACAACGATACGTACATTGACGAAACATAATACGAAATGATCAAATACGATGTTGCTAGCTACGGATAAATCGAACTGATCATCAATTATACCTAGAAGAATGGGAATCTCGGCATAGGGTTTACGGAAAGGGTAGTTTTGTCCGTTTACGGGGTAAACAATGATCATGCCATGAATTGTAGCTCTAGCCCAACCAATGTGTGCATGCCACCAAATGGTTCCTTCTTCATCTGTTAAATGAATCTTGTAAGTGAAACTTTTGCCTGCCCTAATTGGACACTGGTTTATAAATGCAGCACCATCTGACCATGGATTTCTTGCCTGCTTCACTCCATGCCTAATTAACACCAGATTAAAAAAAAAATTTGAATCGCAAATGTAAACACCACATCGTAATGCAGTTCACCCCTGTAAATTTTCTAGTTAGCACTTTGCCCCCTAAAAATTCGAAAACAAGATGACCCTGAGCTGCGACTCCCTTTAAAATATTGTTCTGGTTGCAATTTGCCCCGAAACACTATTTTTGTGTTGGCAACGTCCAACAAAAATAACATTTGAAAGGGGCAATGTGCAATAAAATACTCAATTGTGGTGAATAACCATCGAAATTTAACTATTAGGGCAACGTGCAATAAAAATAAGTTTTTTTATTTTAAATTTGAGGGAGGAAAATGCAAAAAATGAAAATTCAGAGGGAGTGAAGAGCAATTTGACCTAAAAAAAAGAGAACATTTTTTTAAAAGGGTAAATTACAACCGTTCTTGAGGTATGGATAATTTACGAAAATCCCCCTCTTGTTTGGGTAATTACAACCACCTCTCAACTATAAATCTTCTTACACGTCCACCCTTGCGGTTTTAAATTTAGTGGAATCTTCGAGATTATATGGAATTTACTTTCGTACCCGTTTTATCCCATTCGAACTCCACATTTTGAAATAAAATCATCATAAGATGTGTCTCTTGAGTTACAAATATCAGATTGTGGTGCATCACAAACTGTATTTTTACACAAAACGAGTACAAAGTATAGCACATTCCATGAAATCTAGATGATTATGTTAAATTTGACACCATAAGGATGAAGGTGTAAGAAAAAATCATAGTCGAGAGGGTAAACGTAATTATCCAAAGAAAAGAGTTTTTTTCATAAATTGACCATACCTCAGGGGTGGTTGTAATTTACTATTTGAAAAAATAAAATGGTAGTAAATCACTAAGAGGGTGTTTGGCTAAGCTTATTTTAAACAGTTGATAAACTCTTACGTCTGATAAGATGTTTTTAGAGTTGATAAGTTGTTACATCTTATTCTTAGGATTAATTTTAAGAGTGTTTGGATAATGAGCTTATTTCCTATTTTTACTCATTATAAGATCTTAAATAAAAAGATGGGGTAGATGTACTTATTTAAAAAGATCTTATTTGGTCTCCAACAGCTTATTTAGAAAAAAATTAAGATCTTTTTTAAAAAAATTACCAAACACTTTGGAATAGCTTATAAACTCTAAAATATCTTATAAACTCCTTTTAACAACTTACAAGCTTAGCCAAACACCCTCTAAATCGATATTTAAATCATAAATGTAAACACCACAAAGTGACGAGCCAGGATTTTGTATTAGCGGGCAGACAAAACTGTATATATTATTCGAGAAAAAGAAATTTAGAAATATTTCTGCCTAGTCTGATTCTATGTTAGCTCCGTCAGTAAAAAAAAAATAAAAACTAAAAATAAAAAAGACTGCATATATTATAATAAAAAAAATGACAATAATTGAGGGTAAAATTAAATTAGAAAAATCTTTAAATAAAATAGCGAGTTTTTCACACACACAGTAAAAAAAATGCATACCAGTGAAGAGTAATGTTATATTGAGCCTGGTTATAGAATTTGATGATCAAAGTATCTCCTCTATTGGCTTTCAAAGTTGGTCCAGGGAATATTCCATTTACTGTCAAAATGTTCTTCGTGCTGCACAATCTTGTGTATGTAGATGATTTCACCTGCAATATATATATTATTTAAATGTAACACAATCAAAATTCTTCAAGGGTGGGGGGTGGGGTGGGGGTGGGGGTGGGGGTGTAAGTGAAAAAAAGTTTAATTTTTACCACAAATCTATGGTGATGAATTCTGCCATAGCAACTTTGAGGAAGAATTGCTAGAAAAAGAAATAAAGTCAACATTTGAATTGAGCAAATTAAATATTTTTGTCAATGGGTTTGACTTTATATATAGAGAGATTGCTGCCACATTTTTAATTTTTCATCATTTTGATGAGAGGGTGATTAAATTAACTAATCTGGCTATTTAGCTAATCCGGTTCATTAAATTATTTCATTAATAATTTGGACTAATAATATAATTTGGGCAAACATTGTTAAATATGAGGGAAGTGAACATCAATGAATTTGGTCAAAGGATCACTTGCCAAATTTATTTTACTTTTTAAGAATAAATTAGATGGTTTTGGGTACGTACTTTTTTTGGTAAAATTACAGTCTGCACCCCTGAACTATTTAGCTTGTCACAGAACACATACTTAAATTATAAAATGTAACAAAAATGACCCCTATATTTACAGGGGATGATGACGTGTCATGTTGACTCATACGATCTCTCGGAAACTCAAAAGAAATATTAAATACTAACAATTCCTAAGTCCTAACCCACTAAACACGCAGCAACACAATGACTAATTCTAAACAATTATAATTAATTTTTAAATAAATAATTGCTAAAACAATGAATTAATAAGCTAAATATTACTCCATCCGACAAGTATAAAGTGTTACTTTAGAATTTTAAGATAGGGCAATATCTTTTTTTACAATTTTACCCCCATTAATTTTATGGGGCTATTAGTGAGAACCCCTCTAACATTATTTTCATAAGGATGAGTCCAGCTCATTTTTCTTTTTTAGTGAGAAACTCATTTTTTTGTATTCTCAAATTTACCCTCCCACTATTCACTACCCATTATCCACTAGTTTAATATATATATTTTTATTTTTTATATTTTAATTTTCATTTTTATTTTTTTATTTATTTCTTCTTAAAAAAATAATAATTTTTTTAAAAAAACTTTTATTTGTATTTTTTTAATATTTTTCTTTAAATATTCATTTTATATATTATTTTAGTTTTCAGTTAAACCAACTATATGCTAATAAAACGATTATTATTAAAACGACTATTATTAAAACAATTGGTATTAAAACAATGATACATCAATTTCACAATTTATTAAATTAATTATATATTATATTATTTCCATTGTAAGATTAACTAATTATTTAATCAAAAGATCTCCAAAACAACTATTTCTTAAATCAATTATTTATTCAAACCAACTAAAAAGTAATGAAAACAATAATATTGTTGTGCAAAAACAACTATATTGCTATACGAAAACAACTATATTGAATCAACTACAAATTATTCAAATCCACAAAAGCAAAAGCAAAAAAACACACCAAAATTCCAACAAAAATGACTATTATTGAAACCAGCTACAACCATAACGAAAACAATTATATCTTTTTGAGTAACACGAACACAATTTCAACAAACCAGCCTCCCAAACAATACCTCATCCTCGAGGTCAATCTATTCCATTACAGCGGTGGTGGAGGCGGTCTTCCGACGAGGATTGCAGGAATGCTTCCAAAAATCAAAAGAACAAAAAAAAAATACCAGCAAATCTGCTCATCTCTCAGAAAGAAAGGGGGGAGACCGGAAGGCCGCCGTCCGTCCTAAATTCGGCGGCGTCCCCTTGTCTTTGTCGAGATATGGAGCCGGCTTCGTCCTCTCCTTGCCCCACATACGTCAGATTCCCAATTCGATAAAGAAGAGAAAGGGGTCTTCTTTGTCGTTGTTGAGATGTAGCGCCGCCTTCGTCATGAATTCACCGCCGCCGCCATCGAGCCGAGTGAGTTTCGGTTCTAGAAAAGAAGATCAGAAGAGGTGATGGGAATTTGAGAACGGCGGTTTGTTGCAGCAAATATGACTAGAGTTTGTAAATATAAGATTTGAAAAATTAAGAATAATATAGGTATAACACTTAATAATTGTATTAATATTAATTTAATTAAATAATTAAGGGGGTTCTTACTAATAATGAAAATGAGGCTATATCCACCTTGATATAAGTAAATGAATTGGGAGGTTTTACTAATTATCCCTAATTTTATAGCGGTGATTAAAAAAGAAAAATACAATTTTGACCTTAATACAATATCTTAATTTTTTTAATCAAAGACTTTTTAGACAATTTATATTTAATAACAAAATTTAACAAATTTAATACAAGATTTAATCGAACAAATCAAACATACTGATTAAATAATTAATTTGTCAATGGGATATTAATCTAATCACATCTAATTCAATGTAATTGGATATATAATTTATTAACTTTCTTAATTGGTGTGCATTAACCTTAAACGATACTTATTTTGAAACGGATGAAGTAATATATAGTAGCATTGACTTCTCGTTTATAGTTTTTTTTCTTTTTTTTATTATTTCATTTTTAGTTTTTCCGGACGCTATATACAATATATACTAACGTCTAACGGTGACCGAAAACGGAGATGACCATTTTGTTATGTTTTGCATTTCAAGGGGTGTTTCTGACAAACTCCCATAATTTAGGGGTGCAAAACTGTACTTTCACCTATTTTTATTTTTAAGGTAGTGAAAAGTTAGGTATTTTCAAGTATGAGGACCTAAAATGATAATGCCGTAAAATGTTGGCCGGTTTCCTATTTGGCGGGGGCGAGTTGTGGGGCCGACGCGTTCGTGCGATTTGACTCACCCGCTTTTTTTTTTTTTTAACTTTTGGTACTCATTTTAGTTAAATTATTCTCCTCTGTCCTTTTAGTTTTAACTTATAACTTTAAAAAGAAAATATTTCTACAACTAACTTTTTGCCTCCTTTAGGAAAACAATAACTTTTTGACTCACACATGTATTATTATTTACATTTAAATACCAAAACGCCGGCGTTTTGGCACTAACTAGTAAACGAAGAGTCGAGCCGACCGGATAGTCGGTCAAGCTTGTTTGGTTTTTTCCCGAAGTTTCAGATTTGTTTGTTGACTTGGTTAGATAAGCAACTAGTCGAGCTCGAATACATGATTTTTTTGTATTTTTTTAATGTAACCAAGCTCGACCAGAGCCGACTTCATGAGTTATCGAACTAAATATATGTTCAATCTTGGTGAGTAAAGGCTACAAACCGCGCTCAAACGAGCTTTTTCTCGCCAAGTTTGACCCCATATCATGTTGAATGTTCTGAAAAATCGCAA